TAAAGTCAAGTATATATGATATTTAAATGACATATCTGTTTACTTTGTTAGGGACAGATGAAAGAAACAGCTTGTTATAATATAGAATTTCAGAGACTTTCATTTAGTATGGTTGTTTTCCAATGCCTAGTTCTTGTTTTTTAGTCATTTCTTAGTGGAAGAGGACATTGCTTGTGTTACTTTCTTTTGGCTACAACCATTCAACAGTATTGATTTCTTTCAGTTTTATTTTTGAGTACATAACAATCTATGTGTACACTACCAGATTTCTTTTCTTTTTCCTTTTTTGGTTGAGGTGGATGGTTGTGGAAGACAAGTCACATTTGTCATACTAATGATACAGCATCTTCATTGTACTAACTCCTAATCCCTTGCCCAAACTTTTGGGGACATATGTTTCTGAAATTAGAAATTATCTGATTCTGGAAATTGGATAATATAATACAGATGCCATATTACATGACACACTTAGTGAAGTTTGGGAAGGAATAACCTGTCCAAACACATTAATATTTGACCAACAAGATATATTTATTTAATATATTTACATAATAAGTTATATTTTTATAATAAAAAATTATATTTAGCCTCATAGAGGTTCAGGACAGGTTGTGCTGCCAAATGAGTTTGTGCCAAACTTACAAAAAGATATTTTATTGTAGATACAGGGTTGTGGACTCTCTCTCTCTACATACATACATACATACATACACACATATATATGTAAATACACATATATAATGTGTGCATGTGTTTATATATATTGCATATATGGATTTATAATATATACAGATATCTATATATAGTTCTTATATTTTATATACAATTCTTATGTCCATCCAAAGATGTTAGAGTTAGTAGCTTCTTTATTTAATAAATAATTAAATTTTTTTTTTTTTTTGAGACAGAGTCTCACTTTGTTGCCCAAGCTAGATTGGGTGCTGTGGCAATGTCAGCCTAGCTCACAGCAACCTCAATCTCCTGGGCTAAAGCAATCCTGCTGCCTCAGCCTCCCGAGTAGCTGGGACTACAGGCATGTGCTAGCATGCCCGGCTAATTTTTTGTATATAGATTTTTAGTTGGTTGATCAATTTATTTCTACTTTTGGTAGAGACAGGGTCTCACTCAGGCTGGTTTCGAACTCCTGACCTCGAGGGATCCGCCCGCCTCGGCCTTCCAGAGTGCTAGGATTACAGGCGTGAGCCACCGTGCCCAGCTTAAACAATTAAATTTGATGTCCATTTTCATTCAGATGTTTTACTTGGCTGTAAAAGACATTTTTCTCTCCCTTTGAGGTGCAGTGTAGGATTCTGTGTGATTTAAAGAAATAATTATGCTTTCTTTTTCTTAGCAATTCTACTGTGTCAATAGGGAGTGGAAACAACTATTAAGAGCATTCCCCAAACATAAACTTTATAAATAGGCAGAGTCAAATTTGAATCCCAGCTCTACCATTAGTTGGCACACTAATGAAATGTCAACAGGGCTCATGTAAGTCAAACTTGAATTCAAGAATATCATAAATTGTAGAAGTTGGTTAGTGGTTAACTGTGGGAAGGAAGAAAAGAGTAGTGACTGGAAGAGCATGAGGGATGTGGTTAGATGCTAATATTTTATTTCTTGATTTTGGTGGTTGTTGCATGAGTATGTTCATTTCGTGATTATTCATCAGGATGTATAATTATGGACATGCATCTTTCTGTATGTATTATTTCTGTATGTAATATATAATAAAATGTGTATAAGTGTGATCCAAACTGATATGTTGCAACTATTCCCCAATGCAATGCTATTAAGAGGTGGGGCCTTCATAAGATGGCTAGGTTATGAGGGCTCTACCCTCATGAATGAAATCAGTGTCTTTAACAGAAGCTTTAAGGAGGTTGTTCACTCCTCTGCTATGTGAGGACACATAGAAGGCACTATCTTTGAAGCAGAGAGCAAGACCTCAGAAGACACTGAATCTACTGGCACTTTTAAAAACATTTCAGCATATTATGGGGATACAAATGTTTAGGTTGCATATATTGCCTTTGCCCAGCCAGAGTCAGAGCTTCAAGAGTTTCCATCCCCCAGACAGTGTGCACCGCACCCATGAGGTGTGAATATACCCATCTCCTCCCCCCTCCTACCTGCCTGATACCCTCTACTGGCACTTTGACCTTGAACTTCCCAGCTTCCAGAACTGTGAGCAATACATTTTTGTTGTTGTTTTTAAATTACCCAGTCGAAGGTATTTTGTTATAGCAGTCCAAATGGGCTAAGACAATAATTAAAAAAATTTAAAGTTGAGCCTAAAAAGTGGTGACAGACTCTTTCTATAATCCATAGATTTACTGGGGAAAAATGTTTTATAAAATCCATGTATAAAATCAAAAATATTGGCTAATATCACAGACACTATTAGAATTAGATATAAAATGCAATAGAATCCAATGATCATCAACAAGATGATATACATCTAGGAATTAGTTAGTAAATGTTATTTTAAGGTCAAAATGCAGATTGAATAAGACATTCTTTGATTAGGAGATTTTTTTCATGCTATTTCTGGAGTTCTGGAGTGTAAGTCCTCAATACTCAGGACTGGTGATGAAATAATAAAAACAGCTGCATAAAAGGTTTAGTATTTTTATTACATGAATATGTTAAAAATAACTCAGATGAAAATTTGCTAGCATCATTTTTTTTTTTTTACTCTTAAGACTAGTGTTTTATGAAACACAATTTAAGAAATGTTGGTTTAGATTTTAATCCTATGGGAGAAAGAAATGACTAGTATGCTAAGAATGGGAAAGACAGTCTCATTTGCAGTAGTGGAAAATGTGAAGGCTAGAATAGAAGTAGAGAAATAATAGATATGGGACTGTTTCAGTAGATAAGGTGAGAGATGATGAGAATCTTAACCAAGATTAGCAGGGCCAATTGAGAGGAGAGAGTTGATCCAAGAAATTTCAAAGTGTTATAACTAACAGGCTTGGTGGTTGTGGCAGATACTGTGTTCCATGCTGAGATCTCTCTTCAAGGATGTTCAGTTGGTCCAGTTTCTGGGACTGTCATTGGCAAACAGTCTTCAGCTGCCAGCCTCTTCAGGGATTGTCTCAATTGCACAGAGACCTTGCTCATATCTAGTGACTTGTGCAGAGCAATCAGCTTTGTGACCTATGCAGTCACAAAGTGCCTCATGCACAGAAGGGGCCCAGTGAGTTGTTCAGTGCTCTGCTTCAACCTTCTTTTTTTTTTCTTTCATTGAAGGCATGGATTATTTATCTCTAATGCAACCTTCTTAGAATTCTTAATTTTTAAACAATGAGTCCTGCATCTTCATTTTGCCCTGGACCCTGCAAATCCAGTACTAACATGGGAGTATAAAGGTTTCGCCATATAGGCCCATCTCAGGGTAACTCTGAAAAGTCACTCTAGCTTCTGAGCTCCCCCTGGAGTCACTTGACACAGTTATTGGGCCCGCATTAGAGCTTGAATTCCCTTCTCCCCCTGCTTAATCTTGCTTGTTTTCTCTTTTTTCTCAGGTATTGGTCCCATGACATTCCTTAATAAACTTTCTGCTCACAAAACTCCATCTCAGAATCCACTCCCTAGGGAACTCATTGTGTAACCTTGATATTTAGATGTGGAAGCTGAAAGTGAGAGAGGAGTCAAGGACAGCTCTGAGGGGTTTTGCCTTGACTTAGTGGATGATGATGCCATTCATAGATAAGGGAGTCTAAAAGAAGAGCAATTTCTGGAAGGGAAAAATAATGAGGGTGATGGATTAGAATTTAAAATGTTAGTTGTGTATATTTAATTTTGATATGAATGAAGACCACCCAGGTGGAGATGACCACTTGTTGGATATTAATCTGGAGTTCTGCAGAGAGATTTGGGCTGAAGTCAGGAGCAGATTCCAAAGAGTGAATGCCATTGTCTAATAATGGTTTACAAAGAGAGGGCTAAGAAGAAACAACTACCACCTAAGAGCTGAGTGAAAAGGTCCAGCAAAAGGATGGGGAAAGAGCCTTCTGGAAGAAAGAGAGAGAACCAGGAGAGAATGTGTGTAGATAGAAGCCTGATTGAAGTGAATTGAAATGAATGGTATTTGAAGGTAAGAAAGGGGAGACCGGCTGGGTGCAGTGGCTCTTGCCTGTAATCCTAGCACTCTGGGAGGCCGAGGCATGCGGATTGCTCCAGGTCAGGAGTTTGAAACCAGCCTGAGCAAGAGCGAGACCCTGTCTCTACTATAAATAAAAAGAAATTAATTGGCCAACTAATATATATAGAAAAAAATTAGCCGGGCATGGTGGCACATGCCTGTAGTCCCAGCTACTCGGGAGGCTGAGGCAGAAGGATTGCTTGAGCCCAGGAGTTTGAGGTTGCTGTGAGCTAGGCTGACGCCACGGCACTCACTCTAGCCTGGACAACAAAGCGAGACTCTGACCCAAAAAAAAAAAAAAAAAAAAAAAAGAAAGTTAATGATAATTAGAATTATTGAGCCTTAGCGTCCTTTTCTATTTGCGCTATTTCTCTCTTCTTCTGTCTCTCGCCACCGTCTTACCCGAACACCTCCTGGGTTAAAGCCAGACAACCAGGCACTGCAAGAGCACCCAGCTCTTTCTTTGAGTCTACCTTCATTTGCCTCTAGATTTTTCTCCCCTACCTCCATCTCCATTACATTCTCTTTGGCTAAGGGATGCAGTTCTTCCTCAAATACAGAGTCTAATTGCAGCACAATTACAATTGAAACAATAAGGAGAAGCTGACAGTGCTGAGAGTATTCCATATTCATTCTGAATTCCTTGAAGCCGCAGGCGCATATGCTTATGCTCATGACAATATGAATTTATAAGAAAAGGAAGAGAAAAGAGGTCTGCCTGCCCTCCTTACAAAATGGCATCACACATGACCATGAGAGACTGAATATACAAATGAACAATGATTGGACCATATACAAAAATAGAACTCAGAATCATGACCTGTGGCAACCTGCCCAGAAAACCAACTTCCTTATCTACAACAAACAGTTCAGGAAGCCAGCCTCCTATACGTCGTGGGGATCCACTTGGAACATCAGAGAAGATTATTTTAAACTGAAGACATTTGAGATTCAACAGATGCAGAAAAAAGTCTTCTTGGACCTTGTCTTATGAACAGTAGCAACTTCTGAAAAATGAGGCTACTATAAATCTCCTTTCCTGGTGAGTCTTATGGCCATGAAAAAGATGGAAGACCACTCATACCTGCATAAAAAAACATTATAACAAAGTTTTAAAACTCCTGTTTGTTCTCTGAAAAACCCATTTGCGTTTACTAAAAAAAAAAAAAAAAAAAACCTATTTGTTCTGTCCATAAGAGCCTTTTCTCCAGAAAGTTAGGTATATAAGCCTTTAACTTCAATGAGCCAGCTACTTCTTTGTTGTATGCGAATAGAACTTTTTTTCTCTGTTAATCTGTCTTTTGTCAGTTTAACTCACAGGGCCCAAGTACTAAAGATAAAAAGATAGAGAAAAAATTTTTCTTTTCAAAGTCAGACTTGCTGGAAGCCAGATTGCTATCTCCACTAACAATTCAGGAAGCTAAACAATAACTTCTGTAATAATTGGCCTAGAATGGTCAGGACTTGATTAATAACTGACAGCTACCCTAATTTTTGTCCTTACTTCCAATTTAAAACCAATCAGAGAAAGCCAAATGTGCACCTTTAACCAATCACATAGGATACCCTGCCTCTGAGTTAGCCCTCCTACAGCTTCCCCATGGCAACAGCCTATAATCTGGGCATACCTGAAGCCTTTCTGCTTTCCACTATAAAGCTTTCTCATTTCTCTGTCTGCCTTGAATTACTGCCAGAACACATGTGACAGTAGCTGATGACTCCCTTGATACAGCAAGCTCTAAAAAAGAATAGCTTTGCCTTTCTCATTTGGTTGGCTTTCACTTGTTTCCACAACCATGTGTTTCATTTATGCATTGTAGAAGTTTCTTTGGAATAACTTGCAGAGTAAGCTAAAGAAAGAAAAATATTTATTTGCTATGATACTTTTTATGTATTTTCCGTTTCTTTAAGTTGTCTACTGAGGTTTTGAAATTCTCTTTTGCAGATAGTACAAAAATCTTATTTGAAGCAAATCAATCAATCCTGCATATGGCTGAACGATCAATATGAGGTAGCTGCAAATAAACCTACTATTCTCTACCAGGAGTCCTCAAACTTTTTAAACAGGGGGCAAGTTCACTGTCCCTCAGACCGGTGGAGGGCCTTTGGAGAGTGCAGTGCACATTCCACACATGCGTACTGTGGGCCCAGGACAAGTCGTCGGCTGCTAAGCAGGACAGGCAGGGGCAGCAAAAACCACCCAGAGGGCCGGATAAATGTCCTCAGCGGGCCGCATGTGGCCCTTGGGCCATAGTTTGAGGACCCCTGCAAGCTCTTGGAAAGCTTCAAACAGCACAAATCTTCTGCATTTTAATAAAAGTATTTACACACTGATTTTAGTTGTAAAGAAGATGAGAAAATTCAAATATAAAAAGCTTGGGACTATGAAAATCAAGTGTTTTGTCCAAGTACTTTCTTTTTGTTCAAGGAAAAAGGCCTTCAAAAAAATTTCATGAAGTTTTAAATTTGAAGCACCCTTTTCAATAGCTCTCTCTCTACACACACACACACACACACACACACACACACACGCACACACCCCTCATCACTAAAAAGGGAATAGAGAGTAAATGCCCCAAATTAGCTAATCCTGGAGCAATTAAAATGTCATTAGACACCAGGTAGATTAACATTTGTGCTAATACTCGACACAGTAAGATTTGGGAACCAAGCCTTGCCCTCAAGTACTCTGAATAGTCTAGTGCAAATGCACTTGGACCTTGGGGGAGTTTTGGTGGCAAGGGACTGGCAAGGAATACATCACAGATATTATATTTTATTTTATAACTAAGTTCCTAGTTCAGTGGTGGGAACCTGAGGCACAACTGAGAAGTAACTGGTGATATTTCTTTCCATGAATGCTCCACCCTTAGCTAATCTGGGGCTTTACTTTCTATTCCTTTTTAGTGATGGTGGTGATGGGGTGTGTGTGCTGTAAAGGAAATTGATAATTTGATAAATGGATAATTTTTGTAGAGGGCTACAAGCCAATCTCTTGAGTCTCTTCTATTTTCCAAGGTCTTCTGATTTGCTTTCATATATAGTCTTATCTTTTTTGCTCTTAGTACTTCTATTATTTTTAGAACTGAAGCACATTTAACACATAAAACTAAACATATTCAAAATATTAATACATACTGATTTTTTCTCTCTTGGAATAGTTATTTAAAAAAACAAACTCAAAAAAAGTGGAAAGAACATAATTAGCTTTATCACAGGAGCCAGACAGACTTGCCTTTGACTCTCCACTCCAACTTGCATATAATGATTTTGGGGTTGGTCAGCCTTGTGTTGGTATCTGACCAAATTCAGAACCTCTTTAAACTCCCATTTTCATCATCTTTCAAATTGATACAAAAATATTTATTTCTCACAGGTTTTGGCGAGAATCAACTCTAAAACACATAGAATTGCTCAAAGCAAACAGTAGGAGAGAAATCTAATTCCTCATGTTCCTCTTCACCCCCATCTTTCTTGGTCTTACAAATGCCCAGCTAACTTTCAAACCCGTTATGGTAAGTTCAAGTCTCAAACATCAGTTGTCTCAGCATAATTACGTCCTCATTACCATTTATTCTTTGGGAAACTTATGGTCACTTTTTGAGGTTGGATGTTTCTTTTTTTATGGCAGCCTTCTTGTCATTTCTACTGACTGCCTTAATTAGGAGGAGGTGGCAGTACCTGGTTATATGCCTCACATCTGCTGGTCAAAATATAGGCTTGTTCATAATGGGCTATACCAAGAAACACAGCAAATAAGTCACTTTGTGTTCTATGATCCCTGTCCCACCACACCCACCCGCATACTTATTGTCATGGTTATGAAACTTAGCAGGCTATGAGTTTCTAGGTTTCTTTTGTGATAAAGCTAATTCTCTATTGCAGGAGCAGTAGAGACAGCAGTCTTTTTTCCTGCCCAGAAGTTATCCCTCAGTTAAAACCATTCCCATTTTCTAGATGAATGAGTTGAACCTGTTGATGAATGTGTATGCCTGATTTTAAAGGCACAGGAATTACTAGCTTAAGCACTTGCTCCATTTCTTTGGTGTTAAAACATAGCTACTTATCTGCTTTATCACAACATGAAGTTGAATACACTCCAGCTAGTACAGCCACTTTTAGTGAAGGGTTTTAGCTTGAATCATGATTCCCTCAGGCTCAATTCTTTAGGTATTAGCAGCTTCAATGTGCACAGTACGGAGAGAAACTATGTTTGGGCCTTGGACAACAGTAAATCATTAGGCATCTTTAAAATGTCCAGAATATTTGAATAAATGCAACTGCACTGCAACTTGCTAATGTAAAATATTAGATGTGCTCTAAGTAACAACAACAGCTTGGAGAGACTCTAATGGTCCCTCTTTAATTTTCATGCTGACACCTGGCAACATTTGGAGCTATAAATAGAGTATCAGGGAGGGGGAAGAAAGCCTAAGAGATTTCCTGTTGCTGTCTCAATACATAGAATGAGAAAGTCTTTAAAGAAAGAAGAGAAATCACATCTGGAAAAGAATTAGGGGCCCGTTCTATTGAGGAATGGGCCTGCCACAGGCTCTAGCAGAGTACATTGTAGTTAACACCCTGAATTCTGGTTGGGTTTGCAGGAATACTCATAATTATGGGTGAAGTGGCAGGAAGTTGCTTAATCTTTCCAGGATTAAAGCCTGATTTAGAGTCCCAGGACTCTAGGCTATAAAATTAGGTTTTTCCATTCCCAGTTATCCAATGTTAGAGAAGACTGAAGGGGTAGAGCAAAGAAGGGAGGTAGAGGGTTACAAAATGGTCTTGACTGCATCCTGGGAAAGGATCTAATTAGTAGTGTCAGCGAAATAACCCACAGCCAGAGAGTATTCTAGAAATTCTGTTCAATAGCTGGACTATTAAACTTATTAGTGGGCAGATAGAATCTCCAGTTCTGTCTCATGTGGATTGGCTTCTTCCTTAGTTCTCCCTCTTTCAGAAATCTAGGATCACATGGAGGCAGAAACCATCACCTTTGGTAGACTAATAATCTATTAGTAGGTGTGAGGGTGAAAAGAGAACTGAGAAGGTTAGGCAGACTGGAGTATAATCTCAACTCTGCTTCCAGGCTCCTCATGATTTCAGGCACATTATTTAGGCTTCCCAAGCCTTAGTTTTCAAAAAACACCCACCTCGTAAATGTGCTATGAGAATTAAATGAGATGATCCTTGTCAAGAGCCTAGTGTAGTGAATCCCCTTTAGTTTTTCTATTCCCTTGAATACCAAGACATTTATTTATTGGATAAATTGATTTAACTATAATATTTAGCTTTATTTTTTTAACATTGCTATAAATATATTAATAGAAGAGAAAAAAATCACAATACTCTCTTACTTAGGGGAAACTCTTACAATCTCAAATTTGAGTAAATTTAACCATGTACAGGTCTAAAACATTCCCTATAGCCAGGTTTCTAATCCTCATCTTGTACCAAAGGAGTTTAAGAGATTTGAGCATAATATCTAGCTATGTTAATAGGTTTTCCAAGACTGTGAATTGGCTTATAATACAGGCAGCCCCTTCTTTTCACCTAAGGTTGAAAAACTCAACATTTTTTCTTGAGGATTATAGGATTACCTTTCATACTGCATTTCATAACCTGTTATAAAACCTAAGGAACTCAATAAATGTTAAATAATGATATCAAATGTGAGTTTCCCCCCCCCTTTTTTTTTTAACACAAACGTATTAAACTGTGAATCTCTCTATCCAAGCCATTTACTCTTAGTCTAGCAGAAAAAAACATGGAAGATTCACAACCCTCTTAACTGAACCTGTGACATTTTCTCTGCCTGAGCTGGATTTCTTCTTTCTCTTGACCTCAGCTTTCTTCTATTAACCTATGGTAGCAGCCTCCACACTAGTTTAAAGGTCTATTGCCCCAAATCAAATCTGTCCATGCTATTGAGCAGTAAAAAATAGATTCCGTGTGTTGCAGAACTTAGCAGGGAAAGTTTTAGTGTACCCATACCAAAAAAACCCACCATGATTTCCTTTTAATACCTAACAGAAGCAAAGTGAAGTTTGTTACCGCCTGTTATCATTGTTGAAACACACATTTAACATTTCTAAAATTGGAATGTGTCTACGGCATCATATATGAACTGTGTTACAATCTAGGCCATCTTAAATTAACTGTCAATTAGGGAATAGACGTGAGTAGTAGTTGCCATTGCCCAGCCATGAGAGTCCTACATTATTATTCTCAGTGGAGTGCTTGAAAAACTGCAAATCCTCAACATTTCAATCAATAGATCATTTCAGGAACATTTGAGAAAGACTGTAAGTCCTGATTTTGGATTGGGAATCTTAACATTGACACTTTATAGTAAGATCAGAAAAGCCCTCAGAGATCATAGTGGAATATTCTTTTGCTCTGATAATATAAATATAATAAAACTGGTAGAAAAACTGGGACATCAATGATATTGAGTTAGAAGTGATTTGGAAGACTCAGCCTGTGAATGTGAACGAGTATTAGGAATAGCTCAACCATTTTATTTCACTTACATCTTCTTCTTCTTTTTTTTTTTTTTTTTTTGAGACAGAGTCTCGCTTTGTTTTCCAGGCTAGAGTGAGTGCCGTGGCGTCAGCCTAGCTCACAGCAACCTCAAACTCCTGGGCTCAAGCGATCCTCCTGCCTCAGCCTCCCGAGTAGCTGGGACTACAGGCATGCGCCACCATGCCCGGCTAATTTTTTTATATATATATCAGTTGGCCAATTAATTTCTTTCTATTTATAGTAGAGACGGGGTCTCGCTCTTGCTCAGGCTGGTTTTGAACTCCTGACCTTGAGCAATCCGCCCGCCTCGGCCTCCCAAGAGCTAGGATTACAGGCATGAGCCACAGCGCCCGGCCTTCTTCTTTTTTTTTTAAGAGACAGTTTCTCACTCTGAGGCCCAGGTTGGAGCACAGTGCCACAATCCGCAATTAAAGCAGACTGATACACCTGGGCTGAAGCAATACTCCCACTTCAGCGTCCTGAGTAGCGAGGACAACCATGCCAACTAATTTCCAAAAAATTTTTGGGGGGATAGAGATAGGGCCTTGCTATGTTGCCCAGGCTGATCTTAAACTTCTGGCTTCAAGCAATCATCCTGCCTTAGCTTCCCGAAGTGCTGAGATTACAGGTGTGAGCCACTGTGCCTGTCCTATATTTTCCTTTTACTAAAAGCACAAGAATGATATATGATAGAAGTTTATGTCTAAATAAATCTGAAAAAACTCTTTCAACAGGCATAAAATAAAAATTCTAAGTGATAAAAAGCATTTTGTCCTAGTTTAATGGATAATATTTTTTCTTTTTTTCTTAGTGGTAGGTAATATAATGGGGAGCTATACAATTCATGAAACCTTAGATTTAATATAATACAATATCATTATTCTTGGGAGTATGTGGATTATTTTATGCATTATTTTCTTAAAGAGATTAAAAAATTTCCCCAAATTTCACATTCAATTAGTTTAGTATGGATATGTACTATATTACCAAAAACCATTGGTATAAAAATGGTTCTATATAAAACAAATATTATGATATTATCATTATTTTTTACACACACTAAATTACTTCACTTTTGAAATGCAATAATTAAAAGATAACAATAAAGGGTTATCTCTAAGTTATTCCTTTTATGGCCTGATAAATGCATTACAATATGAATTTTAAAAAATACCAAAACTCTTCACTTTCAAATGGCTTATAGAATACATAAAACAATTTCTTGGGAATAGAAGTTCTGTCGAATATATGTAGTCTACACTGAACATTTGACAACACTGATTCATTCAAAAACTATGTATTGCTTACTGTTCAAAATACTTGGGGATATAGCAGGAAAGCCCTATTATCAAAGAATTTAGATTCTAATGGGGTAGATAATAAGTAAATAAGTAAATTTTATCACGACAACTAATAAGTGCAAAGGGGAAAAATTAAGAGGGGGAAATAGGAAGTGTTGGGAAGAGAACAAAATTTTAGATCAGATGGCCAAGGAAGTCCTCTCCAACAATGTCCTATAAAAGCAAAGCACTGCAGAAAGCAAGGAATCTTCCCATGTGGATATCTGAGGAAAGCACATTCTAAGCAGAAAGAATAAACAATAAGCACAAAGGCCCATAAGCAGAAACACTTTGGTGTGTTCTAGGAATGGGAGGAAGCCAGAGCAGCTGGCATGGTGTGAAAAAATGAGAGTGCATTAGATAGGTCAGAGAAATCAAATAGGCAGAGCAGGTCCTGTGGACCTAGTAGGTCAGAGAAAGAAATTTGGCCCTTCCCTTTGAGTGAGATGGGAAGGCACTGGAGATCTTCGGGGGAGTTGTGCTCCGGTCTTTTATGACTGGCCTTTTATGTGGATGTTCTGGCTATAGTGCAGATAATAGAATGGAGGAGTGGGAAAAGAGAGACCAGTTCAGAGGTTTATAGTAATCCACGTGAGGATTTAAATTCAGATAGTAGTAGGAGAGGTGTTGAAAATAAATAAAAATTCTGG